GGTGAATTCCATTGAGGAAAATGGGGAGTTGGGACAATATGGGATGCTTGGGTGAGGGCTCCAGGGGCCTTTTGGATTCTGAAATCTAGAGATCCATAGGATAAAACTGTGGAACAGACCTTGGGGATTGGCAGTGGGAGGAGGAGCAGTTCAGGGTTTGGTGGGAGTGATAGGTGAGCTAGCTGAGGGGTTGCACAGCAAAGGTAAAGGACTAAGGGGCCTGTGTGCCCAGAGAGGGAGGGGAGGGGAGTGGGCAACCCAGAGGTGGAAGGGTTCCCAATGTGTGGTGCCTGGTGGTGAGAGCAACTCCCGCTTTTCAGACAGGGAGCTGGGCAGCAGAAGGGAGCATCTGAGGAAGGGCAGCTCTTCACTGCTGGCCTCGTTGGCCTGACTATGGTATCACTGGATGGGAAGGAAGGGTGTGTTTTCATTCCTGGGTAATACTTGGCCTTTTTCTAATGTTCTTTATCACTGCTCTTATGGGAACCTGTTATTACCACCAAGGAAGTAGAACTCTGGTTCATGGGCAGCATGGAGGTGGGGGGGTGGGGGGCTGCACAATGCTGAATGTCCAGAAGTCATCGGTACATTCTTGGCCTTTCTGAGGCCTTCACCCCCAGCATCTGTGCTTTGTCCCTGGTCAGTCCCATGGGTCCTGTTATCTGAGGGACCGGGTGGTCTCTGCTGTCTGCTTATGGTGTGTCTTACCTGCAGCCATCACACCAGCCCTCAGGGGAGGTGTGGAAGCCCTTTGTGCAGAGGAAGGAACATTCAGCCCATTTCCTCAGTGTTTGTGACACCACCTCACCAGAAGTCGTGCTGGTATTGAGAACTAACCCCTGTGCCAAGTCTTGGGCAGCTCTGCACAGTGGGGCACTCCTCCCCATCTGACCCCTGATCACACCGTGGGAATGACAAAGCCAGAGGTGAACCCTGTGTTTTCCCCACCGGTCCATAGGGCGCCATGCTCAGGGGTCTGCTGGATGCTAGGAAAAGATAACACTGTGATCAGTAGAGTAAGAGGAAGGAGGCACCCGCAAGGCCTAAGAGAGATCTGAACAGAGTCTGGAAAATACTAGAGCTTAGAAGAGGGACATGTTCAGACAAGGTGCCCCCCACCCTTGGAGCCAACATCTGGAGTCTCAGCTGCCAAAGCCACCTCATCTTCACTCTCCATTCAGTGCTAGATAGCACCCAGTGCTACACAGCGTCCCTTCTTCAGTCCTCCTCTCACCCCAGCCTGACCACTGGCAGCCAGGTTGTTGGTGAGAGCAGCACTTTACTACACACTGTCGTGCACATGCCTGTCTGGCCTTCATCAGCCCAGAGCAGATGTTGTTCCCATTTGCAGATGAGGAAAGTAAGGGGTCAGGGAGGTGAGCTACCTTCCTCAGTAGTGTGCTTTCAGCCTTCTGACCTCGGTGATGTTGATACCCTCAAAGCCATGTGGATCATAAGATCTAAACATGTGACAGTGAACATCCCTCAGATAAGGGAGCAGGGCTCATCTCAACCCCTGGAAAGTTTATAGCACGCTGTGGATACATTTTTTTGTGCATTCGAAAAGCAGCTGTTCATGAGACTGAATGTTTCTCATTGTTACACTGTATGCAGTGTAAACAGGGTTGCTGTGGACTGGGGCAGGGTGGAGCTGTGCTTGGATAGAATGCACCTGATTTCATGAATGACCGGACCCTAGGCCCTGCCCTGCCTTGCTTCAGAGAAAGCCTTTTATTTGGAGAGTTGTACTCTCCCTATCCTCCTATCCCATTCAGAGCCATTTAGTAGGCAAACGGGTGAAATTTCTTCCAGTTGACATTTGCCTGCCATCCTGTCTCCTCATATTGTTCCTGATGAATCCCAGAGGAGAGAAGCTTCTGGAGTTCCAGAGGTGATACTGGTGTGGACGGGTTGGATTTTGCCATGGCCCAGTTTCTCCTGAACTTAAAGCTCATTGGGGGTTCTGTGATGTTTACCCTCAAAATGCACAGGGACCTTCATCCAGGGATGTGAAACCAAAGGTGGTGGGGACAGATGAAAAGGGACAAGAAGAAAACACCTACTCTACCTTCTTAGGGCCTGCAGAGTGAAAGCCAGGGTCCCTGTGGCAGATCTGGGGAAGGCAAGGCCTTGTGGGGTCCGAACTGAGGTCCAGGACAACTCAGCCATTCCACCTGGCCCAGGCCCCTCTGACACCACCTGTCTTGTTTCCCTATAGACCTGTAGGCTTTGTACAGACTTACAGCTACAGCTCTGCCTCCACAGAGCTTGGTGCTTCCCCCAACCGTGGATACCTGCAGAGCAACTACCAGCTGCTGGGTTGCAGCCGGGAATGGCACTCATGGGTCACATGCTGGGAGGAGGGGGTGCTACCTCAGGAGATACAAAAGGGAGTGCGACAAAGTCTATGCCCTCAGGAGCTACAACAACAGAGGACCAGGAAAGAGCCACAAAAAGAGGTGGCTTCATGGGCTTTAGCCTGCCAAGGGCAGGTCTGGAACCAAGAAGGGAAAAGCTATTCCTCCGCAGAACAGAGAACCAGAGAGTAAAACAAAGAGGGGAAGATAGATGAGATGGAGGGCAGAAAGCAAAAATCTGTATGTTCCTGGTGTCCTAAGGGAGAAGATTAGAACAATTGGAAGCTAAGCAATTAGCATAGTTGTAGAGAGAATTTGCCCAAGATGAAATGCTCAGCAAAAGGCTGAAAATCCATTTTGAAAGCCCACAATTAGATGCCACCATGTCAGAGTTTTTAAATACAAGAATGGAGAGACATCCTACAAGCATTGGGGGGAGTTAGGTGGGTACCCCTGTGACCCCAGCTATGGGCATTGGCAGATGGAACCCAGTAAAGGGGGTCCCAGGGTCCAGAGAGGAATGGAGTGAATTCTAGGAGCCTATCTGTCTCCCCTATGTGGAGATTGGAGGCTAGTGCTGAAACATAACTCCACATATCCTAAGTAAGGGGATCCCTGGGTGGCGCAGCGGTTTGGCGCCTGCCTTTGGCCCAGGGCGGGATCCTGGAGACCCGGGATCGAATCCCACATCGGGTTCCTAGTGCATGGAGCCTGCTTCTCCCTCTGCCTGTGTCTCTGCCTCTCTCTCTCTCTTTCTCTCTCTCTCTCTCTCTGTGACTATCATAAATAAAAAGAAAAAAGAAAAAAAAAAAGAAATCTCTAAGACCTCATTCATGCCATGTAGACCCGAACCAAGATTATGATCTCAAGGTCTAGAATGACATGGTAGTAGAGGACCAGCATCGGCTCCATGGCCTCATCCTCAAAACCTAATGGAATCACACATTGTTGGAGTAGAGCCAGGCCAGCATGGCCTCCAGAGCTGTCCTTTCTGCTAACCTCCTTCCCAAGAATGGGGAGGCTCCTTCTCCTATTCACTTTACGTGCGTGAGACAAGCAGGCCTGAGGATGATGGTAGCCAACACACAGGGATGGCACAAGGGAAGGAAGAGGGACCCAGGCCTGGTGTGGCATCATTGGTTCAGCAATGGCAGAAGTGCCACCTCCAGGCGAGTAAAATGAGACTAGTAAATACTGGGTATCTTATCTGCTAAGCCACTGAGCATTCCATTGCTTGCCATTCTTAACTGATGAACTCCATTTGTTTGAGTTATTTTAAAATAATAATGGTGCTGCTGCATTCCAGCACCTACTGCATGGCTGGATTTCTAAAATAAGAGGCACTAGGCTGGGAGAATTATGAACCTGAAAGTCTCCCTGCTGTGTGTGACGGAGGCAGAGCTGTGTCGAGCATCATAGTGATGGTCTCACTGCTGTGAACATTCAGGAGTGGCTTTCTGCATTTTTACAGTTCCCACCGAGTGCCCTGACCATGGGTAGTGTGTATTCTGAAAGGCCACATCAGGTATTGTGATTCCATCGATGGCAGCGAAGGTTCCCGCATGGACCTGGCCTGAACACCAATCTGTGGAAACAGTGCGACCAAGCCTACGTAAACAAATATATCTTCCCCCTTCCCACTTCCCAGCATGTGATGTTGGGTCGGTTACTTTATCCTCTGTATCTCAGTTTCTTGATTTGCAGCAAGGGATGGAAAATCATAGCACATACTGCACAGGGCTGCTAGGAGTCCATGAGTAGGGCGATGCCTGGCGTGTGGCAGGAGCGTGTGCATATGTGCGGGAGAGCAAGAAGAAAGGGAGAGGCAAGGGAAGACAAACTAGTTGGAGTAGTCCGTGGATGGTGGTGACCCACTTTAGCATATTTTACTTGGTTTATGTTTCAAATTTTATTTTATTTTTTAAAGGATTTTATTTATTCATGAGAGACAGAAAGAGGCAGAGACCCAGGCAGAGGGAGAAGCAGGCTCCCTGCAGGGATCCCGACGTGGGACTCCATCCCAGGACCCTGGGATGGTGCCCTGGGCCAGAGGCAGACGCTCAACCGCTGAGCCACCTGGGCTGCCCTAGTTTCATATTTTAGAAAAGAAAACATACTCATTTTTTTGTAGGTTCTGAACCTGCTTCAATAAACAAAGAAAAAGAGTAAAGCATCCCCCAAATACTGCAGAGGTTATCTCTAAGAAGTAAGGTTCTAAAAATGTTACATATTTTTTTAGACTTTCCTGTACTTTTGCAATTTTCCTCATTGTGCACATATTAGGTTTTGAAATCAGATTAACAACTTCATGTGAGAAGATGCATTCTATATGGTCACGTGGTCACAGTCGGGTGTACCCTTTAGGCAGGAAGAGTCCTATGAGGCAGCAGGTGAGGGCACAGTAGGCTTCCAGCTGGCCACCTCGGCCCCTCTACCCTTAGGGCTAGAGCCAGTGTGGATACCAGTCCCTTTGGCGTCTGCTGCTGTGTGACAGTGTTTGACCCCCTGTGTCCCCTGGTTCTCTCTGGGGGATAACTGGACACTGATGGCTGCAGATGCCTAGCCTGCGGTGTTGAGTGAGTGAGCTGATGCCTCTACCTACTGGGAGCGAATCCCAGGCCTGGCTGCTCTCTGTCCCTGCAGGCCCCGTAGGATAGAGCCCGTGTGTTCAGGGCTGCAGGCACAGATCCTCCACTGCTATCGCGACCACCTCCAAGAAGTGCTCCTGTGCTCGGACCTGGTCAAGGCTTACCAGCACTGCGTGAGTGCTGCCCACAAGGTAAGACCTCACCCTGCCCTCCTGCCTGGGCTGCTGGGTGCCTGGGGGCAGGGTGTGAGTGCTGGACTCCCTCTTCCTGTCTTTGTGTGCTAAATCAGACATGCTAACCTCTAGGCTGCTGCCTTTTGCAGTCACAGACTCAGGCCTTCAATTTCCTCTGTCACTTCCTGGTTCAGAGTTCTGCTTGCTGATCCCATGAGCAACCCAGGACCGCTCTCAGATATCTGGGTTAGGAGAAAAGGCCTCGGGCACTGGGCCACATTAGGCTGGGTCCAGGAGCAGCTCTGAGTAAGCTCTAGGTGTGGGAGCAGCTCTGAAAGTAGCACTGGGCCCCACATTCAAAGGACAGGCATGTGCCACCCACTTGTCACCTTTGAGGAGTTGGGGGTGGGAGCTCAGAGGAGGGCCCATGGTGCAGGTAGGGCAGGGACAGCCCTAGAAGGAGAAGAGCCTCTGGGTTCAAGGAGATGGAAGAGTGGGTGTGGCCTGCCTGCCTGGGTGAGGGAGCGCAGGGTGCCTCTCAGCCCACCCCCTCTGTGCTGGTCTGGACAGGCATGCTGGTGCCCAGCCTCTGGTGAGCGGTCCCACGTCTCACACACTCCCCAGTGCTCCTGCAGGGCAGCAGTGGGATGTCCTAGATGTCTGAGGTTGGCAGTGGGCCTCTCCTAAGACTTGGTCCCAAGGTCTTGCCCTCCTTCCCTCACCCTCCCAGCCAGCTCCCAGTCCTGCCCTCCCCCTTCCCCCAATTCCTGTTCCTCTTCTAGAGAATTCTACCCCCTTCCCAAGCCCAGCAGTCCACTGCTCTAGGCCAGACCTGGCCCCTCCTCATCATTCACTTAGGGCACTTGGCTTGGACCCCACCAGAGGGCTGGCATGTTGGTTCAGAGGGCTGTAGGATGTGGCCTTCTTCCTATGGAAAAACCCCTTTAGCCTGAGTAGGAAGCAAGCTGCTAGAGGTGGTGGTGGTGGAAAGGCCGAGGTCAGAGGTCAGGTGGCCCTCTGGCTAGCTCTGGCAGTCTCCTCCTCGATAGCCTGGCCTCAGCAGAACCCTCCTCACTTTTCTGTCAGCATGGGCCCTATGAGGTGAAGCTGCTACAGCACTGGCCACATCTCATGCACAGCACAGGTGCAGTGTGCCGTCTGGGCTTCAAGGCCGGGCAGCACCGCCCCTGCCCTCAGTGGGCTGTGGGACAGCTCAGAGCCCAGCAGCATCTCTGCAGGGCACCAGGTGCGGCATGAAGCCTGGGTCAGAGATCATGTTTCCTCCCCGCTGTGGAGCATGGAAAGCTCACATTAAGCAGGAAAGGTACTGCCAACAGTCCCTGAGCACGGACCAGAGCTGGGCCAGTTGCTCTGCACAGTATGGCAGGGGCCAGGGGGAACAGATGGCCCTCCTGCACCCCTTTACATCTACCAAGGTGTTTGTGCAGGCTTGCAGGAGAACCCTTGCCCTGCAGGATCAGCGGACCATTGCCTGTGCTTACACCATGCACCTAACTTTGTACTGAGGGAGAGACCTGGGGTCCTGCTGTGGCCCCTTTGATTCCCCCACAGAACCCTCTTGCACCCTGCCGAGCCCTGGCCACCCTCCCCTTCTCTTCCTTCAGGCCCCACAGCTAGGGTTTTCAGCCCCACCCCCAGCAGACTATATCTTTAACAAACACATCTCGCCAGTATATCTTCATTGCACTGAGGCAAAAATGTGATTACGAAGGAAGACAGATTGCATTTAACTCCAGTGTGTTCTTTGTAGCTCTAGCATGCCTGAGAGGCCCTGGGGCACTGCCAGGCCTGGCTCCCTCTTCCCTGGCCCCCATCCCCCCTGGCGTTATTAAAGCCTAAATTGGAGACTGAGCAACTGGCAGCAGCAGAGGCCAGCCCTGCGCCCACTGTGCTGCGTCTGCAGCGTTCCCGCGGAAGAACCGTGTTCACCAACTCCTGCAGGGCCTCAGAGCCCAAACACACATGTTGTACCCTGTGGCTGAGATGCAACAAGTGCTGCTGCCCTCTGCCAGCCTCTGCCTCGGAAGGCTCCTGTTGGAGCCGGAGTGGGGCCAGGAGCACCTCTGATGGTGATTTGCTTCTAGAAGCGCCAGGTGGCAGAAGGCCTCCTCTCTGGCAGAAAAGCAGAGGTGCAGGCCCACCTGGTCAGAGGCGGGGCGGGAGGCACCTCCCTGGAGCTCCTGCCGGCACCTGTGTGGGGCCTTCCAAGCACAGGCACATGGACACTGCACCTCGGAGGCAGTTTCTAGCAACAAATAGCCTGATTGTCGTGTGTGGGCTCTCACACACCAGAACATGCTTTCTGACTGTTTTCACTTAGAAAACTCTGGGTGGTTAAGTAAGAAAACAGGGGAGACCTTGGTGGGGCAAAGCAGCATTGGGCTGAGGCCTGCCTGTATGGAACAGTGGGGTGGAGAGGCAGATGAATGCGGGATCCATGTTAGTGGGCTGCTCTAGGCACATGTTGAGTGGGCACTGGGCACGGCAATGAAGAGCCTCAGTCCCAGGTCTCAGGGACCGGCTACAGGGCACCCTTTCCATTAAACACTCCCACTCCTGGGCATCCCAAGAGCTGGGGCCCCTCCTGGAGGAGGGGATGGGCACAGGGTTCCTGACAGAGTGGGCTGTGACTGAACCCTGACCTGTTCTCCTTTGTAGGGGTGAGGAACGGCCCTTAACCCTGGCCCTGGCAGTGACTTGGAGCCCTGAAGAAGGAACCAGTTATGGGACCACAGTCTGCGGCCCTCTAGGCCACAACTACTTTCTCCTGGGTGCCTATGGATGCCTCTGTGCTTGGGGCTGCCATGTGTTCAAGAAATAGAATATGTGCTACTGTCCAAAAACAAATAAAGCAGATGTCTTTGTTTTCAGTGATTCTCTTGACTGGCATACAGCCCCTGCTGCCTCCTCCCTATAAGTACCTGGGCTGGACCATGGCGATGCAGGCTGAATGAAACAGGCTGCTCCACGTGGGGAACACCCAGCCTAGCAGGGGAGACAGATGTGGAAACCCACACTTATGCTGCAATGGCAAAAGGCCAGCCCAGAGCAGGTATGAGATGAAAGGAGGGGAATGCAGTTCTTTCTAGGTATGGAACAGAGAGAACCGGCCAGCTTCCCAACAGGCTCTATCTGAGCTCCAGTGAGAAGCCAAATAGAGGACTTTCTGGGCAAGCCAGAGGCTGGGTGAGTGGGACCCTACATGCAGGGCTCAGGGGACACAGAGCATGCACAGCTGGGCTTTACAGAGAGCGGGGCAAGGACTGAGTGGGGTAGTGGGGATGCCAGGCCACAGCATCGGGGGTCCCTCTGAGGGACACTGCCACGGCTTTCAGGGAGGGTAGGCTCATGTGGAGCAAGACTAAGTACCAGGGAGAGCCCTGCAGGTATTCAAGGGCATGATAAATGGGAGGCTGGTGGGCCAGGTCAGGGGACAGACCAAGGTGAGGCATAGAAGCGGAGATTAGCATTTGAGTGGTGTAGGGGAGGATGGAGGATGACTTCTGGATTCCTGGCTTGAGTGAGTGCTGGTGATTCCGGGGACTGAAATGAGGGATGCAGGAATTGAGAAGGGCAGAAGACAATGCTTTGTGACAGGCTCTGCTCAGGTGGTGTCCACACACCAGCCCACCAGTCCTTGACCTTAGACAGATTCCCAACTGAGGCGCCTTGACCACACCAGAGCTGCACCCAGCCTGGCTCAGTGCTATGTGAGGGAGACAGCAGGCGGAGTGTGAGGTGGGGCTTCCGAGCCACTAACTGCTCTGCTAGTGACCTTGGATTTCCTATGAAAGTTCCTTTGGAGAGCCCCTAGCCATCTGGAGCTGAACGTCTGGATCTTGACTCAGGCTTTGCAGCCCAGGCTTCTCCACTCATCTCCGAATTCTCATACACAAAGCTCAAGTTGGGGTTGAGGCTTGGCAGTGTCCGATTGTCTGGGCAGGTAGCACAAGGCAGCTTTATTCGGCCAAGCTACATATTGGCTGAGAGGAAAGGAGCTTTGGGAGATGCCCTCTCTCCAAGTTCTGGGTCAGCTTGACAAAGCTGCTTCCTTCCACACAAGGAAGCATTCAGAAAGCACACAGAGGTGAGCGGCCCCAGTATGTGGCAGGGTGCCCTGGCCAAGCCTCATCCCAGCCTCCCCCAGCAGCCCAAGGAAGGGCTGGCCCTTTGTCAGGCCAGCATGGTGGGGGAGGAGGAGGAGGTGTCACAGGTCACCTGGACTGTTGATGTTCAGTGATATCAGAGCTGTCCTTCAGCCGGAAGTTCTGAGACCTTTCTGAGACTCCACAGAAGCCTGTGGCATCCAGGGCTTTGTTTAACTTCTCAATCCCACAGGAATCTCTCTCAGATTCCATCCTTCTACCTGGGAGTTGGCTGAGGGCAGCTGTGTTGGCACACACTGGTCTGTGTGCATGTACCTGTTGTGCATGTATATATAGATACCTGTGTGTATGTACATGTGTCTGTTTGCACAGGTCTGTGTGCACCTGTGCATCTGTGAATATGTAAATAGATACTTTTCTGTGTGTGCAGAGGTCTGTGTACATCTGCCCATCTGTATCTGTACACATGTATGTGTATGCCACGGTCTATACACGTGCGCTGTGTTTGCACAGGCAACCAGCCATTGTCCCCACCTGCTAATTAATGCTCCTTGGCTCTCTCTTCCTGGATTTCAGCCCATTTCTCCAATTTCCCCCAAGTCAGAACCAAGCTCCTCTGTGTGATGTCTACTTCTTCCCTACTTCTGGGGACTAGGGGGTATTTGTTCAGAGCCACTATATCATTGTATTGGAGTGTGAAGGGGAGGGGCATGTGCCAAGGTAGGCTCTGTGTGCGTGCATGTGTGTGCATTTGTGCGTCACCTATGTGGACCTGTATCTCCAGTCCTTCCATGTGGCCTTATGTGGTAGGAAGTCAAGCCTGAGAGCACTCCTGGGTGAGAGGTGTGTCCAACATTGTATGGACCTGGAGGCAGACGTTCCTGGGCTCAAGTCCCAGTCACATGGCTGTTGAGAGGGAATGTTAATACCCATCCCACCTGGTTGCTAGGGGATTAAATATGATGTTAGCTGTGACTTCCAGGGTCCAACCAGGAAACCTGAGAGCATTCTGATTATCTAAACATAAGGAACTGAATATAGGGTATTGACTACAAAGAAGATGGAGAAGCCAAAAACCTAAATGGACTGGTATGATAGCCCAGAAATTAGCCAATGGCAGGAAGCTCACATCACCCAGGGCTGCAGGGACAAAAGGAAGAGGCGGGTCACCCAGGGAGTGCTGGCAGCTCAGGGGCCCTGCTCTTGTGAACTAGAGCCTCTGAGGGGCACAGCTGCCCTGAGAAGTGGCTGCTCATGGCCTGTCCCTGCTCCCATCCTCCATCCTCACCCATGCCACCCATTAGCTGAGCCTGGAACTGGCTGGAACTAGCTGGAACTGGACAGCAAGGCCTGGCCACCTGGCTCTGGAGGGGTGGATCCGAGGCCCCGGCCCACAAGAAGGGCTTCAGCATGAGGGGGCTGCTGAACAAGTACATGTGTCTGTAGGTGTCCCCGTGCCTACACTTGGGTGGGTGTGTAGTGGGCACAGATAGGTATGGACACATACTGTGCATGTGTCTGGCTTGTATGGGCACAGCTGGATGGACAGCTTCCAGAGGGTGTCAATCCTCAGCCCTATGGGATATTCACCACATGCCAGGTCCTCTCCCGCCCCCTTCGTAAATGCAAATTCATTTAGAGTCACACACTCTGTGAAGTAGGGCCATTACTACACCTACTTTCCAGATGAGGAAACCGTGGCACAGACAGTATGAGTAACTTGGCCAAGATTACACAGAGCATGGTGCTGACATTACCTTTTTTTGGAGCAGGAGTCCTGGCCGTGTGCTGGGTCAGGCCTGGGGACATCTGTCCAGAGGCTCAACTCTACTTGTTCAAGCAACCCAGCTAAAGGGGCCAGTCCTCCACCTTTCCCCTCACCTGGCCCCCCAGATGGGGAGTGTGGACCCCGGCAAAAGAAATGGCTGAAGTTCATTCCTTCCAAAGTCTTATTGACCTGAAGACGCCCAGCAGTGCCAATGCAGGGTCTGAGTTGGTGTCATCCCCGAGGTGGCTGTGAGCCCTGGGGCAGAATTCATACACTTGCCCTGTCTCAGCCACACGCCACCACCTCATCCACCCACAAGTGGGTACAGGTGTGGCTGTACATCCCACATCATTCTAGATGGCTGAGGTGGGTGTGAGAGCAGGGCATAGAAGAAATATCCAATGTGCACAGGGAAGGCAGAGTGGTACTGTAGATGTGGACAGGGCCCTCCACTGAGGCCATCACTGAAGGAGGCAACTCACATGACCTCTCTAGAGAACACATTGGGTGAAATGCATCAGAGGCCTTTTAAAGTGTGCAAATTCACAAAAAAACAAAAACCACCCCCCCAACACACGCACACCACACATAATCCACCTGTGTGTTGTTTACGAGAGACCCCGCCTTAGTAATAAGGGTACAGGCTGGTTGAAAATAGAAGCAGAGAGCGGTGCCTGGGTGGCTCAGCGGTTGAGCATCTGCCTTCAGCTCAGGGCATGATCCTGGGGTCCTGGGATCGAGTCCCACATCGGGCTCCCTGCATGGAGTCTGCTTCTCTCTCTGCCTGGGTCTCTGCCTCTCCCTGTGTGTCTCTCATAAATAAATGAATAAAATCTAAAAATAAAAAAAATTCTAAAAAAATAGAAGCAGAGAAACAAACATACCAGCAAACCCTGAGAAGGCTGGAACAGTTGTGTTACTGTCATACAAGGTAAACTTCAGACAAAGAGAACATACACAACGGAGGGGGACAGTTCAGGCACTACCAGGGATGGTGGACGCCCGTCTGCCTTGGAAATCCTGCGTGTGCGTGCACCTGGCGCAGGCCGAATAGCTGAAGCAGGACTGCCTGAGCGAAGAGGAGGAGGAGCCAAGTCCACCGTCGTCACTGGAGACTGGGAGCACGCACACCCCGTGTTGCTGATGGCAGAGCAAGGGCTCTAAGGAAGCGTGGTCAGGAAGCCAGGTGGGAGTGGGCCCTGTGTCTGAGGATGTTCGTTCTGGCCCTTGCACAGTCTCTTGGAGCGCCCAGCCCGTGGCACAGTGTAAGATGCAGGGCATGGCATCCGAGCTACACGGACCCGGCACCCACTGCAAGCCCCGGGCCTCTCTTTTCTCGCGTGTAAAAGGGAGAAAGTCCTAGACGCCATCCCCTAAGGGGGTTGGGATGACAGGGGTCCCACGGTTAATGCTCTCTCTAAATGTGAGGACAGAGGACCTACCGCCCAGGTCCCCTTTAGGGCCAGCTGTGGGCAGACAGCCCTCCCTCCCGAGTCCTCCCTCTGGGAAGCACTTTTGCTGGGGAGCCACCTCCCCCAAGGCACACCCCAGCAGGGCCAGGCACTGTATCCAGCTACTGCTTGTTGCTGCGGGTATGGAGGCCCAGCTCCCACGCCCCAACCTGGAGCAAGCTGGAAAAGCGTTCTGCCCTGAGACCTTGGCATGGCCTCATCGACAGTGCCTGGCAGCCTGGCTAGGCCTGCCCTCTGCTTGCCCTCACCCAGAAGTGTTGACCCCAGGGACACTCACATTAACACCCCACAGGCTCCTCTCTGCCTCGGAACAGGCTTCTAGAATTAATATTGTTAACGCTATTATACCCTGCATGCTGTGAAAATGATGGCAATACCTGGCGCATGCCCCCATGAGCTTATAAAGTCTAGCAGGAGGAGTTAGTAGGGGTTGTTATAATTCCAAATGTTATTGGAGGTCACTTGTGATGAGGCCCCTGGGGAGAACCTCTGGGAGCTCCGGGCCCAGGGTACTCGGGCTGTGG